ATATGAAACAGTAGGTACTAGTCTGTGTGTATTTTTGTAATTCTTTCCTTCCTTTTAGAGTGCTAAGTGTTTTTATAGAGTGTAGTATACTACTTCCTCGGGTTCATATGTTGAACACCACAGACTCATCGGATTACAATTCGTTTAATCACGATTCTAGAGACTAAAGTCCAAGATGAGGGAGCTGGCAGGGTGGTTTCTGGAAATGGCTGTCTTCTTGCTTTACCCTCTGTCCTTACTCAGCCTTTCCTCTGTGGCCTTTCCCTTCCCCTGTGCCCCTCTCCCGTCCCCCCATCCCATTTTGAGGCAGTGAAGGCCACACCCCCTGGGCCTCGTGCTGGACAAGTTTTCTCCACACTGAGCTGCATCGCCCCCAGCCCTTCTGAAATGAGTCATGCTCATCCTCAAAGTTCCCATCTCCCAAAAGGCCATATTTGGTGACTGGGGATTCAATATGTAAATTTTGAGGGGAAAAAGTTTAATTTATAGCATATGGTAGAGATTGACGAAGAAAAAAACAATCCTCCGAAATGTCATTCATTCCTCAGATAAAACCACAATTGACATTTAATTTTTTTTCTCATCATATTTCCTTTGTGTTTCAAAGCTCCGAGATCACACCATGAAAAAGAACCTTTTCAGTTCTCGGCAAAACTAAGTCAGAGTTTGGGAAGCTTCCACAGACAATCAGGCACACAGCAAATCATAATCGTTTTTTGACTCCTGTGTGCCTCTGCCAAGAACTTTTCTAGGGCTTTCTACGAGCTGTGTGGTTTTTCTTTTTTAACCTGCAGGACAACTCAATAAAGCAAAGCTTAACTCTTTTCATTTGTGATCAATGAAATTTTTTATGCTGCTTTTTATATCTAGACAAACAAAAATCAATATCAGATCAGACGTTGCCGACAGTGAATTATAGAGAAAATTTATTTGCCTATAACTTTTAGTAAACATATAATTTTACCCTTTATTAAAGATGAAAGAAAATGCCAATAATGATGAAATGGGTATGCTTGTTTCTTTTTACGTGTGGAGCTCTAACTTGGCTGAATATTTGGTACTGTAGGATAAAGATCCTCTTCAGGTTTTTGGAGTTATAGATATTTTATTATTGTCAGTGCTGAGAATCCCACTTTGCATGGATACATGGTAAAAAAAAAATGGCAGAAATTTGCTTAGTGACATTTTAGTACTTTTGCCCTAGTCATAAGCCAAAAGTTATTCATCTACTTTTTTTTTTTTTTTAAATCAAACATTAGAACACACCAAAATCCAAAGAGGTACAAACTTGAGAGTTACATGCTAGGGAACGAAGGCAGGAAAATGTTCAAAATCTTTGCTTTCTATAATTAAGCCATTGCTTACTTCATATAAATTGTAAGAGCAAACTTCATATAAATGATAAGACAGAAATCTGGATTTGTTTGTTTGTTTGGTGAACTGTTGGCAATTAGGAAAAACAAAACAAAACAAAAATGCTTGCAAAAGTAAGCCTTGCTATCAGGCTGTACTCAGAACATTAATACAATAGAGATCAAAATAGTATCTATGTTCTACACTTGTTAAAAGAACTAAGTTGGGTCATTTTACTATATTTAGCTCAGGGTCAGCACCTTGTGCTAAGTGAGTGTTAGTTAGCTCAGAGTCAGGATAAACATTTTCTCTAGTAACTCAAATTGCTCATGTTATTTACTATTGTTTTATTCTTAAAATAATACACAGGTACGTACATGTATGCTAAAAACTCAAGCAACACAGAAACCTAAAAGTCAATGAGTGATTAGATTTTCTTTCTATGCTCACTTCTCTCTCCATATATAGTTAAAAACCATAATACCATTTATTTATCTTTATCTTAAAGATCTTCTGAGATCATCTCAAATGAACTTAATATTCTTATAGGCTGCATCCTTTGGCTATCAATATGTATAATAATTTATTGAGGCAGGCTTCTCATTTAGGTAGTTTTCAGTTTTTATCATTATAAACGAGTACATCTCTCTGTGCCCATTGATAGATATAATCCTAGGCTTGAATCCTGCATAGAATTTCTAGTTCAAACTCATATTAAGAATTTTCCAGCTATTGTACTGTTGTTAAATGTATTTTGATACCCTTTAAGTAGTCTTATTTTTATTATATTATAAAACATGCCTTTTTTTAAAAGACAGGTTTTCTCTGTGTAATAGCCCTGGTTGTCCTGGAATGAATCCTGTAGACCAGGCTGGCATTGAACTCAGAGATCCACCTGCCTCTGCTTCCCAAGTGCTAGGATTAAAGACATGCACCACCACCCTGCCCTTATGATATTCCTATGAATATATAGTTAGAGTTTCTCTCCTGCCTGGTCCTGTAGCTGATTAGCTCCAAATAAACACAGGGACACTATAGTAATTATAAAACTGTTGGCCAATAGCTTAGGCTTCTTATTGGCTAGCTCTGTCTTAATTATTAACCCATTCCTGTTAGTCTATGTATTGCTACGAGGTAGTGGCATGCCTGTAACACAGCGTGTTTCTCCCTGGGCAGCATGGTGTCTCCTTGTGTTCTCTCTCTGCCTTCCTCCCTCTAGCCTTCTCCTGGTCTGGTAGCCCCACCCATCTTCCTGCTGTGCTATTGGATAATCGGAGTTTTATTCATCAACCAGTAAGACGTACGCAGAAGGCCGTTCCATCACATGTACATCACGTGGGCCAATCTAACTCACTTCCCCGTAACCACTCCCTTCCCACTCCCCTTTGCCTGCTGTCCTCTCCTCTTTCCAAATAGCCCGTAACCACTCCCTTCCCACTCCCCTTTGCCTGCTGTCCTTTCCTCTTTCCAAATAGTACTCCTTTCGCTTTTGAGTACTTTTTAAAAGTTTAGATTCTGCTTATGAGAGAAAACATGTTTGCCTTTCTGAGGCTTCTTTTATTTATTTAACATGATCATTTCAACTCCAGTCATTTTCTTGCAAATGACCGAATAACGCTTTACTGTGTAGTTATTCCACATTTTCTTTATCCATTCACTTGTTGACAGACACCTATGCTGATACCTTCATGAGGACCTGCCATACTGGTTTCCGTAGTGACTGCAGACATTTATATCCACACTAATAGTATATGAGAGTTTCTTTCATCCCACACCCTCACTGGTATTATTTGTTGCTCGAATATTTGATGATTTGTCACTCTGATTGAGTTGCGTAGAATCTCAATGTAGTTGTTTAAGATTTACTCTTTATTTTTAGTGTGTGTGTGTGTGTGTGTGTGTAAGTGAGGTTTGCATATATCTGAGTTAGTGACTCTGGGGCCCAGAAGATGATATCAGATCCTCTGGAACTAAGGTTAACAAGCCTGACATGGGTATTGGGAACTGCTGTTATAATTTAAAAACAGTGATGTCTGAGAGAAAGATACCATGTGACAGAGTTCAAGTGGAGGGTTTTGTTTTTTTTTTTTTTTAACTAGGGGATAAGGATCATAAAAGGGGAAAAGGGAGAGGAGGAGACCAGCCTCCCAGGGACAGGAGCAGCAGGAGAAAGGAAAGAATAGCAGAGGGCAGGGGGAACAGACAGAGGGGAGGGGAGGGGAGGAGGGGGGAGGGAGGAAGGGAGAGGGGAGAGATAGGGGAGGTGGGCAGGGCCCCTTTAAAGGGAACATAGTGGATGTGCACAGGTGGTGCTCTTAGTGGCAGCAGCTGAGGGTGTATCCTGTCAGAACCCCAAAGGCAGACCAGCCAGTACAGATGCTTGAACACTAACAAATGTTAGGTGCTGGGAATCAAACTCAGGTCCTCTGCTGGAGTAGTAATGCGTGCTCTTGCTGGCTGAGTTATCTCTCTAGCCTGTCATAGCCTGTCAATATAGTGTTGATGAATATTTCCATAATGGCTGTGGATGTTGAACACTTTACATATGTTTATTGACTAGTTTTATTCATTCTTTTGAGAACTATCAGGTAAATTCATTCCCCCATTGGTTAATTTGTTTTAATGTTTACTTTTTCTAGTTTTTTTTTTAATAGAGTCTAATCCCTAATAAGTGACAAAGATTTTTCTGCCGTTCTCCAGGCTGTATCTTTTACTCATGTGATGTGTCCTTTTTTGTGAAGATGCTTTTTAGTTTCACTCTGTCCTATTAGTCAGTTCTTGCTATTTTTTTTCCTGAGTCTTTGGAGTCCTTTTCAGAAAGTCTTTGCCTATGCTTGTTTTGATTTTTCCTCCTAAGTTCTGTTAGTTTCAGAGTTTCAAGTCTTTTATTAAGGTCTTTGATCTATATTGAATTGACTTTTGTACAAGGTGAGAGATAGGAACCTAATTTCATCCTTCTATGTGTGGATATTCAGACGTCCCAGCTGTCTTGATTTCTTGATTAGGCTGTCTTTTCCCTCACGTATGGTTTTGACACTCATGAAGGATCTGTCTGCTGTGGCTGGCTGGGCTTATTTCTGGGTCCTCTAGTCTGATCTATTGGTATTCATGTATGTTTTTGTGCCAATGGTGAGTACCTTTGCTACTATGGCTTTGTAGTGTGATTTGGAATCCAGTAACATTTAGGTAGTTTGCATTTTTGCCAATATAAATGGTCCTATAATAAATACCGTTGTGAAGAGACATAGTTTTAAAGGATAAGTACTTGAGTTTGAGATGACATTATCTACTAGTAACTATATTTCTGAGACTTGACTTTTCCAAATATAAAAAGTATATTTCATGCAAATATTCTACATTTAGAAACACAGGATCATAAAATCATAAGCCAGTCTTTAGCATTAAGATTTAGAAACATGTTTTTGTTTTGTTTTAGACATTCTTATGTGTAATGAAGATCACGGTAGAAGAGAAGACACAGCAAGGCCTTCTTGTACCACTGGATCTGGATTACAGATTTTTTTAAGTTAAAATTATTTACTGTCGTTTTAGTGTTCCAATTTCATAATATGCATTTACATATTTTTAGCATTAGGGACTGTTAGATAAACACTATGTCCCTGAACTTTATTCCAATATTCTTTTATCTAAGTAGATTCAGAGAATAGAACTTAAAATTCAGTGCTAAGCCACAGAATAGTCATTCTGGCTCCCCCCCCCCTATTTTTATATCTGAAAAAGAGTAGATAACTAAAAGTCATTCATAATGAAATATACCAAATGCAATTTCGCGATGTCAGTCGTTGGCATTATACTCTATGTAACTGATTTAGTTGCAGACATCCTCCTATCTGTTAGGTATTTCCACAATGGACAATATGTTTTTGGTGTTTTAACATTGAGCTTTGTGCTCTGTGGGACACTCATAGTGCAGTGTTTTAGCTATTCATGGTTGAAGGACGATTTAAAGAAAACAGGACAAGAAAATGAGCATTATTTTCTTCTACTTCATTGCTTTCAAGGAGGAGTCTTTACAAGGTGAGTGCATATGTTTAATCCCCAGCATTGTTACTTATCCAAACAGAAGGTCCCTTTATTTTTAAATTTATACAGTCAAATGTGAGAGATTCTTCATTTGCAAGCAGGGCACATATTGCTTGCTTTCAAACATCAGTTTTTATGTACATCATCGCTGAGCTCTTAGACCTTTTCTGGATTCACCAATAGAGCCTTCCTTTCCACCACTCCCCTGACCCATTACCCTCTGCAGTGGTTTGAATGAGAGGGTTAAATATCTCTGTGGTAGGACAAAGCATCCTTTGGGTATGTGCCCAAGAATGGTATAGATGGATCTTCAGGTAGATCTATGCCCAACTTCCTGAGGAACTGACAGTGTTTTCCATAGAATGTGTACAGGTTTGTACTCCACCAGCAATGGAGAATTTCCCTTTCTCCACACCCATGCCAATACACGCTAACGTTTGTTTTATTGATATTGGCCATTCGGATTGGTGGAAAGTGAAATCTCAAAGTACTTTTAATTTACATTTACTTGATAGCTAAAGACTACTGAACATGTCTTTAAGTGTTTCTTAGCCATTCATGTTTCATCTTTTGAGAACTCTCTCTGTTTAGTTCTGTATCTCATTTTGAAAGTTTTTTTTTCCTTGATGGTTAGTTTTTTAAAGCTATTTATATAGTTTAGATAGTAACCCTCTACCAGGTGTATAAATTGTGAAGACTGTTTCCCTTTTAGTAGCCTTCAGCTTTGCCTAAACGATGTGTCCAATATTTGCCATGCAGAGATTTTTACCTTCACAAGGTAAAATTTGGGGTTTTAAGTCTGATGGAAATCATTGGAACATTTTTGCTAGAAGAATGACGTATGAATTATATTCAAAGTGTTCAATACAGATGTTGCGAAGAGAGTAGGTTAGATGAGGAGCAAGAGTAGAATCTGGGGTGGACAAGATGGCTCAGAAGGTAAAGGGGCTTGCCGCCAAGCTGAACAACTTGAGATTGGTCCTTGGAAGACACAGAGTGGAAGGGGAGGACCCGCTCCCCAAAGCTGCTCTCTCAATTGCACTGACATACCGTGGACACCCCTCCCCTAGAGAATAGAATCGGGAAGAACAGTCACGGAGCTAGTGAGATAATCTGGGTCAGGGGTTACCTGATTAACTTGGGGATGGAGGTCATATCGTTAAGTGCTATGAAGTGTTTAGGGTTTGCTCTAAACACAATTTGATGTTAGCATCAGGATGCTAGGGAAGAACTTTTATAGGGTTTGAGAATTTCCCACGGTTTTAGTTTAAACAGCATGGTGAATCTCTCTCTCTCTCTCTCTCTCTCTCTCTCTCTCTCTCTCAATTATTATATATGTGAAGGAACTGACAGTAAAGAACTCTGATAACTTTTGAAATAGTGTCTTGGTTGCCTCTCTCCTAGCCCCAGATTGCTTCTAAATAAGTGTCAACATTTTTTTATTATGAATTTTATATGTAGGCAGGTAGCTAGTATTTATTTAAAAATTCTTTCAGGAGAAGGGCCTGAACAGGAGTATTTTAAGAGCCTTGGAGGGGGGCTGGAGAGATGGCTCAGAGGTTAACAGCACTGACTGCTCTTCCAGAGGTTCAATTCCCAGTAGCCACATGGTGGCTCAGGACCATCTGTAATGAGAGCAGTACCCTCATATGGCTGGCATGGGTGCAGACAGAAAGCTATGTACATAATAAATAAATCTCAAAAAAAAAAAAAAAGAGAGTCTTGGAGGGTTTTTGTTGTTGCTTTCTTTTGTATTTCTACTATGAGAGTGCTCAGAGAATGCCTTGCTGACATTAACGATTTACTAAATTCAATGGAAAAGATTCAATTTTCTCTTTAGCTTTCACATTCTGTAAGGTAATGACTGTTTTGTGCTGTAGTTAAAATAAGTGGATAAACACCTGTCTTCCTTAGGGTTTCTAATTAAGTGGCCATGGCAACCCTTCATAAAGGAAACATTGAATTGGGATGGCAGCTTACAGTTGCAGAGGTTCTGTCCATTGTCATCACGGGGGTGGGGGGGAGGGAAAGCATGGTGGACTGAGGTTCCGTCCATTGTCATCACGGGGGGGAGGAGAGGAAGGAAAGCATGGTGGACTGAGGTTCCGTCCATTGTCATCACGGGGGGGGGAGGAAAGCATGGTGGACTGAGGTTCCGTCCATTGTCATCACGGGGGGGGGGAAGCATGGTGGACTGAGGTTCCGTCCATTGTCATCACGGGGGGGGGGAAGCATGGTGGACTGAGGTTCCGTCCATTGTCATCACGGGGGGGGGGGAGGAGAGGAAGGAAAGCATGGTGGACTGAGGTTCTGTCCATTGTCATCACGGGGGGGGGGGAAGCATGGTGGACTGAGGTTCCGTCCATTGTCATCACGGGGGGGGGGAGGAAAGCATGGTGGAGTACAGGTACCCATGGTACTGGAGAGGTGGCCGAGAGCCTGAGTCTTGCAGGCAGCAGGAAGTGACCGAGACACTGGGTGGTATCCTGAGCACAGGAAACCGCAAAGCCCCACCCCACAGTGACACATTTCCTCGAACAAGGCCCTACTCGCTCCAACAAGGCCGCAGCTCCTAGTAATGCCACTCTGTATGGGGGCCAATTACACGCAAACTAGCACAACAGTGAATCATTGACTGCCTTTTGAAATGCAGTAGTTAAGGGTCACAGACTGGGTTTGAACTCGCTGTTGGCCCACTATTCTTTGTATGAATACCAGTAATCGCTTTACCCTTTGCAGCCTTCACTTTCCCAATGCAAATGAGAAGAGCTCCTAACTGTGTCATGACTATTGTAAAAAGGAGGTATGGGCATCTGTGCTTAATGCACACATCACTAAGGCATTAAAATTTTATTACGTCTGAATCTCAGTGAAGCCTGTGGAGTGAGTGTTAAGGCCCTACACGGAAGAGTATTTGTGGAAAATTCTGTTCTTATATTGCTTCAGTATGTACATAAATATACACATCATAAAAGTGTGTAAGTGTAGGTGCTAAATAGTAGTAAGAGAAAAAAAAATAAGATCTATTGCATGATAGGATGCCTATAGATAATGACATTGTATGTATATTTCAAAAAGCTGGAAGGTATAACACAAAAAGTAAATGACCCAGAGACTGATATTGGGGTTCAAACTTCAAGCTGAATATCAGAAAAGCAAAGCAGCTGGTCACTAGCTTCTTACTTCTACCTCAGGCTGAATCAGACTGTAACCTCTCCTCAGTGTGGGCTGGAGAATGAGTGCCTCTCTGATTTTGTTCCTGTCTTATATACTCCTCTAGTGCTGGGATTAAAGGTGTGAGCTCTGTTACTCTTTTAGACTGGTTCAATCTTGTGTACCCCTGGGTGGCCTTGAACTCAGAGAGATCCACCCGTGTCTTAATCCTGAGTCCTAGAATTAAAGGTGTGCATCTAGCTTCTATGGCTTGTGGTTAACTTTGCTTTCTGAATCCTAGGCATACTTTAATATATCACTACAAGGATTTTTGTGTATTTTCGCTAGAAAGAAGTGTTAAGTATTTGAAGTAACAGACCCGTTTAACTTGACTTAAACATTGCAAAGTACATGTTTTGAAACATCTCTATCTCATAAATAAATACACATAATTTTATCTTTCATGTGTTAATTAAAGTGAATTTAATGTCTAAAAAGTATGTGACTGAAGAGAAATGCTCCTTTATTTCATAGGTATTGGTTTGCCTTGAGAAAGGGTTACCATGTGGTTTTCAAACATAGCAAGAGAACAAGGAATTCCATGGAGGGACAAACGGATCCTCACAAAGAAGTCATCGACATCGTCACTGACCTGAGCATGCTCAGGCTGTTTGAGACCTACCTGGAAGGCTGCCCACAACTCATCCTTCAGCTCTACGCCTTTCTGGAACGTGGCCAGGCAAATTTAAGTCAGTGTAAGTCTTTCTCACTGGCTTGGTTGTATCATAACTTTACAAATCTCAGGACTTTTATCCTAAAAGTTGATTTAGCAGCATAAGAGGAAGAGATAAACAGAGAAACACAATAGTTTGCAGGCCGTAAAAACACAAAACCAGAAGCCATAATAGATGTGCAAAGGACCTGAAGGTAATACATAGATAAACAGACAGACATATGGATAGAAAGCTAAAAATTAAAAAAAGAAAGAAAAGGCCCTGACATGACATTACGAGACAGAGCCTCCAAAGATACCACTGAGCTCATTTTCTGTTGGCCATCGACTGCTGGACATGCAAACTGCACTTAAGAATAGCTTGTTTCCCCGGTGAGACGCCCTTGAAGAAAACTAAATTTTAATTTGTAAGGGGTTATCAATTGGAGGTAGCTTCTGGGTAGGGACGGGTATATTTGTTCACTTCTTCTTTATTGCTTTTCTTTTTTTAAGGGGAGAATTTGAAGAGTTACATGTACACCTTTATTCCCAGCACTGGGGAGGCAGAGGCAGGTGGATCTCTGTGAGTTTGAGGTCAGCCTGGTCTACAGAGCTAGTTCCAGGACAGTCAGGGACACATAGAGAAATCCTGTTTCAAACAAGCCAAAAATCAAAACCAACCAACCAAACAAAAAAGCAAAACAGCAACAAAACAAAACAAAAAGAAAAGAAAAAAGAGAGAGAGCAATTATTTAGCAATACTAGCAATAGAGAACTTGGCTAAATTTCTGTAGACATTTAAAATAAAATATATAGTTCTTAGAAGAGTCTTTTCAAAGAGATTTTAATAACATAGAAAAGCATTTATGCAATCAAATTTAATCAAAACTGTTCATAAGGTTTTCCATCAGCATATTCTTAAGGATACAAATAAATGACTAGAAAGACACATTTGATGAATGTGTGCCAAAATGTTAAGTATGGCTGCTGTAAGTAGTGGAATTTTGAATGGTTTCTTTTATTGTTTTTATGTTTTTTTGGATGTTTTTTTATAATCATAAGAATTATTCAAAATATAAAAATATCATGTTACCATGAAGAATATCATACATGATAACCAAATGAGCATCATTCCAGATATAGTGTGTTAGTGTAACACACTCAATTCAATAAATGTAGTCCATTATATAAGTAGACTTAAGGAGGAGATTCGAGAGAGATTCCAAAACGTTCACTATGCCTTCATGATGAAAGTCCTGGGGAGATTAGGAATGGGTGGAGCATACCTCCAAATGTAAAGGCCATATACAAGGGACCTATAGCCAACATTATGCTAATAGAAAGCACTTCCTCTACAACTGGGGATGAGACAAGGGTCCCTACTTTCATCTCTCTTGCTCAGTAGAGAGTTCAGAGTCCTAGTCAGATAAACAAGACAAAAGAAAGCCGTAAAAGGGGAAAACCCATGAAAGGAGGAAGCCAAGCTGTCCCTAGCGCAGACTGCGTAACTCTATACGTCAAGACTCCCTGGACCAGAGGGTTGCAGACCTAATAAAGTGCTTTCAGTAAAGCTGGAAGATACAAAATCATTATACAAAAGTCAGTACCCTTCCTATATACCAAGAACTCACAGAGAAAGAAATTAGGGAAAACATCCCTTTTATAACAGCTCACAAAAGTAAAGAACCTAGCAATAAACCCAGTCAAGGGGGGGGGGGGGAAGCCTCCACAATGAAAAACCTCAAGACATTGGAAAAGAAATCAAAGAAGATACTAGGTAATGGAAAGACAGCCCATGTTCCTGGCTTGGCAGACCCAATGTTGTACAGATGGCTGTGTTACCAAAAGTAATTGACAGATTAGATACGATTTCCATCTAAATTCCAGTGTCATCCTTCCCATAACTAGTAAAAATAATCTGAGAGTTGACATGGACTCACCAAATTCCATAAAACAAATATCCAGTGAAATAACAGCTGGGGGGGGAGCACAATACTGATCTCAAATTATACTATGAAGCTGTAGTCATAAAGGCAGCCCCGGACTGGCAGAATAGAGTCTGGAAATAGCCCAACAAGCGGTGGCTGCCTGATTGCTTAAACATGTAGTGGAAAAAGACAGCCTGTTCAAGAAATGGTGTTGGCTTGGCCTACCCCTCTCCTCCAAGGGCCACAGATATCTTAAAGCCCCCTTTCCAGTTATTGGTCAGGGGAGTCCAAGCCCCCCCCCCAAATAATATTGCCTATTGCTGTTGTCATTGTTTGCCTCCCCACAGTAGAAGTTAACACATTATTTCTGAAGACACCATGCACTTCAGACAAAAGACCAGGGACCCAGGCTGGATCTGGCTTGAAAGCCAGCTCCCCCCCCCCCCACACACACACCAGAGAACTAGCTTCTATAGTACCGGACCTTGCTATAGAAGTTTCCAAGGGAGGGAAGCAGCCAATGATATGATTCTACCCAACTGTAACACCTATGAACCCCAGCGGCTAGGACAGCATGGAAATCCTAAGGGTACAATACATCAGCAGTAACCAACAGCTCAGCAGGAGGAAAGTCATGTGGTTTTTTTTTTTTTTTTTTTTTTTTTTAACCTAGCCAACTACCCAGGACTAGTGAGGTCAAGGACCTTAGAGGAGGAATTACCACTGCCATTTTATCAAGCCATCGCAATTCCCAACATTATTTTAAATATTTGTCCTTGTACGCACAGATAAATGTAGCCCTCATCACAGAAACGTCTCTTTGCAATAGATACTGTTACAGAAAGGCCCAACCTTGTCATGAAGCAAGTGATTATGAGATTCCCACCCCAGCTGGTACATCTACAACTTCCATACCCAAGATTCAGGGAAGACCTCAGAAAAGCAGGCAGTTTCTTGTAAGAGCCAGAGGTCCAGGGAGTCTGCTGTGAGATGTGTTCCCCAGAAATGACAGGGAGGTTTCACCCACAATACACCACTATGGCTGCCTAGACAAAACCTGAAGAAGTGTAACAATGGACATGCTAACATGGAAGTGGGAATCTCAGAGGCCCCGCCCATGGCAACTAAGGGATTCTGGGACTGGGGGAAGTAGTCTTTCCCAGGGATGAGACCCCTAATTGGTTATCGAATACCAAGTGCTCAGTCCTGAATTCATATACGTACAAGCAACACTAAATGAACTAAGCAGGTTCACTTTATATATGAGGCATGCGTGTATATGTGTGTGTGCAGGCCTAACAGTAACTGTTTAAAAAAAAAAGTAGTGATTTTTAAAAGGGAGGAAGGCACAGGGTATATGGGAGAGGCTGGAGGGAGGAAGGGGGAAATGATGTATTTTTTATTTAAAAATATAAAATTTTTAATAATGAGAAATGGTGCTGACAAAATTGCACATTCACTACAGAAGAATGAAATTAAACCCGTGTCTTTCATCTCGTACAAAAATCACTTCAACATGGAGCATAATTTAAAGCCTGAGATGTTGAAACCCTCAGAGGAAAACCAGGAATGGTATAGGCAAGGGCTTTCTGAACAGAACCCTGGCAACACAGGAGCTACACTAAATTATTACACAGCAAATACTGCACCAGAGCAAACAGCCCACAGCTTGGGAAAAAAAAAATCTATACCTGCTGTACTTCAGATAAGGAACTAATACACAGAATTTATAAAAAGCTTCAAAAATTAAACAGCAAAATTTCAAATTACCTTTCTGCAAACGGGCTAATGGATTTGACAGTCATTAACAGAACCAACACAGATTCCCAGTAAGTATCGTTTTTTGTTACTGTTGTTCTTTGTTTATTTTGAGACAGGGTTTCTCTCTGTAGCCCTGCATGTCCTGGAACTCACTCTGTAGACCAACCAGGATGACCTTGAACTCTGCCTGCCTCTGTCTCCTTGGGGGCTGGGATGAAAGGTATCCATCATCATGTCTGGCTTCCAATAAGTATCTTAAGAAGTGTCCAACATCACTAGCCATCAGGGAAATTTAAGTTAAAATGATTTCTAGAAAGAGTTGTTTGGGGGCTGGAGAGATGGCTCAGAGGCTAAGCGCAGTGCCTCCTCTTCCAGAGGTCCTGAGTTCAATTCCCAGCAACCACATGGTAGCTCACAACCACCTATCATGAAATCTGGTGTCTTCTTCTGTCATGCAGGCATAATATGCAGGCTGAAAAACTGAGTATATAATAAATAAATCTTAAAAAAATAAAAAAAATGATTTCTAGATTTCATGTCACCCAAGTCAAGTGGCTATCACAGATGCTGGCAAGGATATGGAAAAAGAGGAGCAAACTAGGAGAAATCAACATAGTGGTATCTAAAAAGTTTAAAAGTAGATCCACCATACGAGTCAGCTGTACTGCTCCTGGGCACATACCCCAAAGACCCCATATCATAACAGAGATGCTGGCACTGTCATGTTTATTATTGCTCTGTTATGAGCAGCAAGGAAATGGACCCAAACCAGATGTTCGTCAACAAATGAATAGATAATGAAAATGTGGCACGTATATACAATGGAGCCTTACTTATTTATAATCAAAAATGAAATTAAGAACTTTGCAGGAAATGGATGAACCTGGTATAATAAGCGCATGTTCTCCCTCATACACAGACTCTACCTTGGAATGTATGCGTGTGTACATATAAACGGAAGTAAATTCAGCTAAAGCATAAAAGCTAGAAAAGAGACCAACGCGGTTATTACAGAAAGCAGCTGAGGAATGGGAGGGGTATGTGCGACAAGACGGCAGAAAAGAGGCTGCAGGGGGACAGGGGTGATGGGGGGGTGAGGGGGAGGGAGTTACTAAAACTCTCTTTGAGCCAGGTGGTGGTGGCGCACGCCTTTAGTTCCAGGAGGCAGAGGCAGGTGGATTGCTGTGAGTTCGAGACCAGCCTGGCCTACAAGAGCTAGTTCCAGGACAGGCTCCAAAGCCACAGAGAAACCCTGTCTCGAAAATCCAAGAAAAACAAACAAACAAAACACTGTTTGAGAATGCTATAATGATGCATAAATCCCTTGTTGCTAATTTAAAAAATGAAAATGAAAAGTCATGTTATAGAAAGGGTTTATAAGATTGAGCATATTCTCTGATCTTAGAAGAATAAAGGAACAATGCTAACACTTAAGGACAAAGGTACTACTTGATAGAATAACAAAAATACCAATGCAAAGATGTCAGTAAGACCCTAGTAGAAGATGCAAAGTAAATGGCAAACAGGTCATTCAAATCAGCTGTTTCACATGAAAACTAAGTTATTTTAGGCAACTCTTCCACTGAAAATATATGACATTAAAATGCTTTAAAATTTTTTTCCATAAATGCAAACTATCTGATGCAACATATCAAAGTAAATATCCATGGAAGTGGGAATGGCCCGTGGTTGACTAGGATTCTGAAGGTGTTTGGACCCCCAGGGTATTTCTGAGTCTCACAAATAGTCAGTTTTGATGACTTCCTGGAGTATAGAAGACAATAAACAAATAAGAAGCAAGGCAATGGTTACTTAAATATAAAATGCTCTAAAAGCAGGAGATATTGTTCCTGAGATATTAAAAAAAAAAAAAAAAAAAAAGAGCCTCAAACCAACCCGAACTGAAACACAACTCCTACTGACATAGTTGTAATATCGTGAACATTGAATTTTTTTTACTGAATATCATCTTGCTTCTCTTTTGGACATTTGGAGGGAGAGGAGACGGAGGACAGTGTGTCTGTCTATATGTGCTAAATTTTCCTTTTCCGAATAGGAAAGCGTGAACAGTGTCTTCTGTGGATAAACCAAGGCTGTGATGTGTAGGAATATGACAGACAGGGGACAGCTAGCAGAGCTGGGGTTACAGCTCAGTGGGGAGGGGACCTAGAGAAACTGACTGAGTATGTGTTAATCCGGCGGCAATTAAAGCCAGGCGGTGCTCACTTGTAACCCCAGCACTCAGAAGCTGCAGGCAGGCAGATTAATTTGAGTTCGAAACTACCCTGGGCTACACGGTTTCACCAAAAAAAAAAACAAAACAAAAAACAAAACAAAACAAAACAAAACAAAAAACAAAGAAATCACCCAAATACAAAAGCACGTCACATGGGCTGAAAAGAGGGGTCAGCAGTTAGGAGCTCTTACTACTCATGTACAGGGACAGGTTCAGGTTCCAGAAGCCAAATGATGACTCTCAGTTATTTCCAACTGCAGCTCCAGGAGATCCAATGCCCTCTTCTGGCCTCTGCGGGTACCAGGCATATGCAGGCAAAACACCTCTGGACATAAGATTTAATTTTGTTTTAAAGTCATCGGACAATTTAGGGGAAAATGATATTTTAAGTAAACAAGAGGAGAAAATAAGTCCATATCTATCGTGTTTTGTGCCTAACTCAAGACAGGAGAAAATGTGTTTATAAGGCGTTGCCCACCCTCAGCAAGAAACACACCATTGGAAAGATGACTAGGCATGTGTAACCCCTCATACTCTGTGACTGCCTCTAATTTGGGGTTCTCATATTTGTGCTTTATCTTTTAAAACATCCTCTGTCTGCACGGTGAGGTTAGAAATGGCAATGATCAGCAATGAACTTCTCCTTTGGCTGTTTGCTGGGAGAAAACAGGTGGAAATGTCAAAACTATACAACTTGGTGAATTTCAGAGTATGTTTGTTCACGTGACTAAGGGTCTGTAGGTTATGAAAAATGATTTTGTTAATGATGTTAATTTTCTGTTTAACTGTCTCATACCTCATTAAGCTATCTCTCAGTGAATTAGATATGTGTACAAGGTCAAAGCCAAATAATGTAGAAAATTTAGATATAGTTGTGTTTAGCCAAGTACTTTTTACTGAATCTATTGAAGATTTTTCTAATGAAGTATGCTATAGTTCATTAACATATCAACTTTTAGACAGCTTTAGTTTCAAATCTCAATTCCATTCTTTTCTAGTTGCATAAGAATCAAGTAATAAATGTCTTCAAACCAGGGTTCCTCTAATACAAATGTGCAGATATCAAAATATACCTTCAGTGAATTAGATGAGTAAACTGCCAGACATGTTGGTGTGTGTCTAAGCTGCTCAAGCATTCATGGCACATGCTAATTTACTACTGTGATTATTATTATTATTATTTTTGTTGTTGTTGTTTGTTTTTTCGAGACAGGGTTTCTCTATATTGCATTGGAGCCTGTCCTGGAACTAGCTCTGTAGACCAGGCTGGCCTGGAACTCACAGAGATCCGCCTGCCTCTACCCGACAGAGACTATTATTCTTACTAGTGTTACTGTTACCTGTTACCATTCCTAAATTGGTATGTCCTTTGTGTTTTGTTTTATAGATGTGGTCATCATGGTTTCCTGCTGCGCTATTTCTTGGTCAACAGTCGATTATCAAATAGCTTTAAGAAAGTCATTGCCCGATAAAAATCTGCTCAGGGGACTCTGTCCCAAACTCACCTATCTCTTTTACAAGCTGTTCACCTTGCTGTCATGGACACTGAGTATTGTGCTTCTGCTGCTTGTGGATGTGAAGGCTGCTTTGTTTCTGCTGTTATTTCTTTGGATCATAGGTTTCATATGGGCGTTTATAAAGCAAACTCAGTTTTGTAACTCTTTCAGTATGGAGTTCTTATACAGAGTTGTTGTTGGAGTCACCCTTGTGTTTACATTTTTTAATATCAAGGGGCAGGATACCAAATGTCCGATGTCTTGCTATTATACTGTAAGGGTGCTAGGCACCCTGGGGATCCTGACTGTGTTCTGGGCTTACCCTCTCTCCATTTTTAATTCGGAGTATTTTATCCCCATCAGCGCCATCGTAGTTCTGGCTCTTCTCCTTGGGATTGTTTTTCTTACTGTTTATTACGGTGTTTTCCACCCAAACAGAACTGTCAAAGCGCAGAATGATGAAACTGATGGACAGCCAGCACAGAGAGACTGTAGAATGAGATATTTCCTAAAGGACTAAGTTATGAATTTGCAAGAAACGTTTTAGTGTTTGCTTCCTCACCAAGTAAAGAAAATGTCTGTTATGTGCATGGATTGTTCCTTATTTTTGTCACCCGTGACTTGAAATGAGTTATGGTACAGGGTAGATGAGAGCATACTCATATGTTATTATTTAAGATAATCTCTTCTTTATGCTGCCGGGGATTAAGCCCAGAGCCTTGTGCATGCCCCTCCACCACCGAGTGGCGCCCCCAATTGTCTTGATGGTTTCAAAAGTCTTGAGTACCGAGGCGCTTGCTTTCTGTGTGACAGAGCTGCCATCTCACTCCTTACACGGAATAAATAGAGAGCGTGCCTCCCAGGAGGCCCACACTGAGCTCCCCTCCTAGAAGCGCAATGCTTCCTGTGGACTACTGCCCAGACTCCCTTTTCTTCTACTTTCTTCAGTCAGCACATGGCTTCTGAGTTGGGGACAGGGTGGGTGGAAGGGAAGGGGATGGAGGAAAAGATGAACGCAGATTCTTAGAGTGATCTACTGTGCTGTTTCCATGGCCTTCCCAATTGGGAAACAAGGAGCGGAATTGGAGGGGACAGGAAAAGCCATAGTTTACTGATTACTTAGCTTTATAGACGTATATAAAGTTACATGTAACAATGAGTGTCATAATGTCATGTCACATTTGGTCTCTCTCTGTCCTGCTTACCTACCTCTTCCATCCCAACTTGCTTCCCTGCTCTCATATCTTGGCTTGCGTTTGTTATGACCCAGTGAGTTTTCACTACGGTTGTTTACAGGGACATTGGCACTTTATGCCTCTGTCTTCTCATCAGCCATTAAGTGACTATAAATCCTTACCGAGGGGTGGGCCTCTCCCCTCCATGACAGACGCTGATGGGCTCAGTGTCCTGCAGGTCCTACATCTGCTATGAGTTTGACACCATAACAGCCATGTCAGACCAGAGAAATTGTTCTACAACACTACCCGCTCCTTCCAGCTCTGACATTCTTTCTGACCCTTCTTTTATGATGCTCCCTGAGTCGTGTGTGTGTGTGTGTGTGTGTGTGTGTGTGTGTGTGTGTGTGTGTGTGTGATATAGATGTCCCGTTTACAGCTGGGCACTCAACTGTGGTTCATTCTCAGTGCTTGGACCAGTTATGTGTCTCTGCTGTCACCATGAACACAGCAGAAGGAAGCTTCGATGGGCAGAGCCGTCAGCAGCACCAGACGATCAATCGATCAATGCGGGTGTTCGGAAGGGGATTGGACGGTCGCGCCATGTCCTTTTAGCAGTGGCAGTCACAGCTTCCTCCTGTCCTCAGCCACAGACTTTTAACTGGGTTTACAGAACCAGCTGTGAAATCCCTCTTGCAGCAAATCTTCTCGATATCATTTTTATTGGTTATATTTATTCTGAGTAGTTTCGAAGATTGGATTCATAGTATTTTATTTTTTAAAAAATTGGGTAAAATACACTTCAGAGTGTCTTGATCATTTTAAGCATAGTTCACTAGTGTTAACCATGCTCACGTTTTTGCAGTAGATCTCTGCCGCCTTTTCATTTTGCAAAGCTTAGACTGTGTACGCATGGGCAAGTAACTCTTCCCTCTGATCCTGGCAATACGTTCATTTCATGTGTCATGGTGCCTCCAAGGCTCATTCATGTTGTTGTATGTGATATATTTTTCGTGTGTTTTTCATGACTAGATGATATTCCATTGTATGTATAAGCCACATCTTCTCTATTTGTCTATCAATAAATATTTGAGTTGCTGTCACCTCTTGTCCGTTGTGAATAATTCAGTAATGAATATAGATTTGTGACGATTTCTTTGGGATGCTTTTGGGTCTATGTACTCAGAAGTGGTTTGCTGGATTGTATAGTAACTGTATTTTTATCTCTTGAGGCATCCTCATACTGTTTCTCATAATGGAAGTGCCATTTTATGATCCTACCAACAGGTCCCAAGGCGATTGTTCTCTTTGTCGCTGCGATGGATGTGTACCTGAAAAGCGCCACCGGAGGGAGGAAAGCTCAAGGTTCCCAGTGGGGAAGCGGCTGGTCTATGCTCACAGCAGCACACTGATGCAGGACGTCCTTCTGCAGGCTGTGAATAGGTTTCTCTTATTGGTTGATGAATAAAGCTGTTTCAGCCAATGGACAGTCGGGATGTAGCCAGGCAGAAAGGATAGTTGGGGCTATCAGAGTAGGAGAAGTCCGGGAAGGGGAAAGGCAGAGAGAGTCGGCAGAGAGATGCCAGGTAGCTGCCAGGGAAGTAACCCATGTGGAGATACATAGATTAATAGAAATGATAACAATTAAGACAGATACTCCCTGTCCTTTTTTTTTTTTTTTTTTTAAAGACAGGGTTTCTCTGTATAGCTTTGGAGCCTGTCCATGAACTCACTCTGTAAGCCAGGCTGGCCTTGAACTCACAGAGATCCACCTGCCTCTGCCTCCTGTGTGATGGGATTAAAGGCGTGCGCCACCAACGCCTGGCTCCTTGTGCTTTTAAAAGGAAATAGCAGTGTGGAAGAACTATTTATTTTTTTAAATGTCTATCTCTTTCTCTGTGTATGAGACACACACACACACACACACACACACACACACACACACACACACAGAGAGAGAGAGAGAGAGAGAGAGAGAGAGAGAGAGAGAGAGAGAGAGAGAGAGAGAGCGAGAGCATTGCTGTGTACGCCAGGAGAGCCCCTGGGGATTCTCGTTGCTCCTCCCTCCCCTCTCATGACGGGGATGTGAGAATCACAGATGCATGCCTCTGAACACTGACTCAAGTCTCCGTGTGTAGCCTGATTTTTCTTGTTGTACCTTTCTTGGATCGCCAGCTCCCCAGTAATGGCACAGAGACTTATTATTAATCCTGAAACTTTGGCCTTTAGCTTAGGCTTGTCCCCAACTAGCCCTTATAACTTAAGTTAGCCTGTTTCCGTTAATCTATGTTCTGTCAAGGGCTTTTTTTTTTAACTTAACCTCTCCTCTGTGCCGTATGCTTGACTTGGTCCAAGCCTCACCGGTGTCTCTCCATTTCTCCTCTTCCCAGAGTTCTCTCTCCTGGGAATCCCAGTTATGCTCTCCTGCATAGCTAGTGGCCATTCAGTTTTTTATTAAACCAATCACAACATCACATCTTCATAGTGTCCACAAAGATTATCCTACAGCATTCGTGCTCGTCAGACACGCGTGGTCCAGTGAGCGATCTCCCCTTCTCAGAGCCGTTTACTTTTGGAGGAGCTGGGGAACCCGTGCTTTACATTGGGCACACAATTCTAGACTCCATGCGTATCTATGCCTCTCCGCGTTCGGCTTGTGTCCTGGTTTCCAGTCCGTTACTCTTATAAAAGAGCCTCAGCAGAAGCAGCTTAGGGGACGAAGGGGCTTATTTAGCTGAAAGGTCACAATGCACCTTTGAGGGGAGTCAAACGGAGCTTGAGGCAGAAACCATCCAAACACTCTGCTTCTGATTCCCGGAGGCTCACGCTTAGTTCTTTTCTTACACAGTTTAGGACCACCTGCTTACTAATACTGCCATTCACAGTGCTCTGTGCTCTCCTATGGCAACTAACCAGCAAGGCAGTCCCCACAGACATTCCTGCAGGTTAATCTGATTAGGTGGGCCCTTTAATTGAGACTCCCTTTTAGGTGACTTTATACTTTGTCTAGTTGACAATTAAGGCTAACTAGGACAGTATATGTGTATATGTCCAAGTTAAAAACAGTCACATCGCCTCAGTGAGAAGCTGAGTCATAAAAGACCAAAAGGTTTGAAATTATAAAGCAGAAGTTTTCTTGAGGGGCTGGAGAGATGGCGCAGTGGCTAAGAGCACTCGCTGCTCTTCCAGAAGACCTGGGTTCTTAGTACCACATGGTGGCTCACAACTGTTAAGTCCAGTTTTAGCGAATCCTTGCATGGCGCGGGCGCGCACGCGCGCGCTCGCACACACGCACACACACACACACACACACACTCACGCATACACACACACGCGCGCGCGCACACACACACACGGTGCATATACATACAGTTTCAGGGAATCCTTGCATGGCAACACACACACACACACACACACACACGGTGTATATAATACAGTTTCAGGGAATCCTTGCATGGCGCGCGCGCGCGCACACACACACACACACACACACACACACACACACTCACGCACACACACACGGTGCATATACATACAGTTTCAGGGAATCCTTGCATGGCTACACACACACACACACACACACACACACACACACACACACACACACACAGTGTATATACATACACATTCAGACAAATATCCATACATCAAAGAAAGAAATCTTTAAAAAATGTCCATGTCTAGCTTCCATACTTTTGTAGCACTTTCATAGTTTAGATACATTTCTTTTATCCCTCTATCTGATAATGTTTTTATTTTTCCTTTATTCTTATAATCTGTTTGTGTGTGTACATCCATACACATGTACACACATATGTATATACAATGTATATGCTAGCCATGTGGATATTATCCTATACGTTTCTGAAGCATATATAGAAAACATATATAAACATCTCTATCTGCATAGCCTAGGTTAGCTTTGAACTCATGATCATCCTGTTTAGCTTTGTGAGGGCTGGGATTATAGCTGCTTACTGTTAAGCCTGAATCGTGTGTGATTTTCTTTTCTTTTCTTTTTTTAATTTCCAGATATAAAATTTTGGGTTGTACTTATTTCATTAGGAAGTAATAATAACTCTCTTTTCTGGCCTCCATGTTTTCTGATGAGAAATTGGTGGCCATCCAAATTACTGTTCCTCTCTGGGTAATGTGTTATCATTTCCTGGTAGTTTCTGAGACTTTTACCATTAGTTTGTTTTGTACTATTCTGACTACTGTGTTAATGAGCATGGCTTGGTCTGTCCACTGTGTTAACGAGTTAGTTTCTTCCTTGTATCCATCTCAGCTTGATTTCTTCAAGTTCCTCGAAAAAGTACATTTTTGGTTTTAACCAAATCAGCAA